GAGAGAGAGAGAGAGAGAGAGAGAGAGAGAGAGAGAGAGAGAGAGAGTTGGACACCGGCTTGAGGGATTATTGGTTGGAGGCTACTTCGTTGCAGAGTCACTGAGTTGCAGTCTCCCCCTGATCCTTCCCTCTTTGTCTCTTCCACTTTCCCCTTCGCCTGTGGATGTTTTGCAGGCATAGCGGCTATCCTCTATGTATGAGCCGCCATGGCCATCTGTTTGTGAGTGACGATAGATGTTTGTGGTAAGTCCTGAGCCTGGATGAGTCGGATCTGTACATTTCAGTCTTCCGCTGCATTCTTCTTGGTTTCCACATTGGTGTTCTCCTCGGATCTGCAACATGCCCATCTGGGATTTTGGGGCATGTGACAGCGACAAACAATCCAAGGCAATGAATGAAAGACCAGCAACAGGGAGAAGACAGCAAACAGCAGACAAAAAAAGGCAAAAGCAGTGATGCAACACATAGGCTGGAGGGCATGGGGGAGGAGGGAGGACAGACAACACCTAAGGACACAAGGCGTTGGAAGGAAGACCAGCAGGGTGGAGAAGACAGCACACAAAGCAACGAAAGGAAAGCGAAAGACGGCGAAGAAAAGGGCAAGAGGCAAGACGGCATACTACAACAGGCAGCAGCATAGGTTAAAGGTTGCAGGCAGGTGGGCACACAAACAGCATGAGACGCTGAACCGAAAAAAGGGGGACAACACAAGGCAACTAAGGGAAAGGCATGAGGCAGCAAGGAATAGGACGGGAGACAGCAGGTGGAGAAGACAGCACACAAAGCAACGAAAGGAAGGCGAAAGACGGCGAAGGAAAGGGCAAGAGGCAAGGCAGCATACTACAGCAGGCAGCAGCATAGGTTACGGTTGCAGGCAGGTGGGCACACAAACAGCATGAGACACTGAACCGAAAAAAGGGGGACAACACAAGGCAACTAAGGGAAAGGCATGAGGCAGCAAGGAACAGGACGGAAGACAGCAGCCAAGGACAAAGGCTGTAGGGCACAGGGGAGGCGGGAGGGCAGACTACGCGAGCACACTGCAAGCAAACCCGAAAACATACAAGTCCAAAAAAATCGAAGACTGAAAAAAAAAAAACAAAAAAAAAAAACAAACAAACAAACAAACAAACAAACAAACAACCACCAGCCCAAGGAGGCTAGCTCAGTTGGTTGAACACGTAAATGGTATTCAGGAGGTTTTGGGTTCGATTCCCTACGTCGTCCATTCGATCCCCCGTGCCCCCCTGTGATACGCTTCGGGCTCCAGCGGGGATAATTGGCTTGGGCCTCCTGGCTGGTTGTGGAAGCAGAGAGGATGCTTTGCAGCTCGTGCCAGGTGTTTGGAGCCAGGGTAGTGCTCCCCTCATAGAGCGGAGTTGAGCAGAATAAGAAGGCTGGGAGTCATTAGGGAGAGTTGACCAATAACTGCAACCATTTGGAAACTGGACTTAGATAACAGGATAGGTAGTGTGATTCATGTGAGTGAAGAATATAGCTTAGTTTTGAGCAAAAAAAAAAAAAAACTGATGATGAACAATTGTTTCACTGGAGTTGCACCGACTCATCAGGAGGCTGAACCCTCGACAATCTGCGGAATCCCTGTATTGATGGTTTGGGTCATGAACCCTTTGACCCTTGTTGACGGCAGACTGCCCCCAAGCGGAACGTAGCGGCAGGCAACAACCCAGCAAAGCACCAGTCAATGCTGCTGGAGAAACCCAACTTTACAGCACCAGAAAGAACTGCATCGACGAGAGGGCAAGTGAACGAGCAGCACGGCAACAGCACACTGATGCACAAGGCAACACCAACAAAGCACCCAGACTACAGGGCACACAAGCAAAGGACGGAGAAGGCGAGGCATGCACATGGACAGCAAGGCAGAAGAGCAGCAAAGCACAAGGTAACACCAATAACACAGCCACACCACACCATGAACACAGCAGCTGCAAAGAACGACATGCGAAAAAAGCGGGATGGGAAGCAAGGCAGCGGCGGAGTGCAGACAAGGCAGTCTGCACATCGAACATGGAGCAAAACGGAACCTCGCCTACTCAGAATTACGAGTGAACCCCGCAGACTACCACCTGCTGAGCCAGAAAGCTGTCCAGACGGGCATCTACCATCACCCATAGACCATATGCACCACAGACATCACAGACGACACAGGTCCCCTAAGGGTCCTGCAGGCACTGCAAACCACCGACAACCGACTCTTTAGCTATTCTTAAACCACCAGTACTTGGCCCAGCTATCGGCCGGGGAAAAAAAAAGAGTAGAAATGTTTCTAGCCGGATGAATTTGGGCGCTCCTGTAGTAGCCCATATGCTTCCTAAAATTGTGGCCCATTAACGGGTACTGGTGGTTTAAGGGTGCTCACCTTGACACGGTAAAAATCAATCAAGAAGAAAGACGTGCATAAGAATGATTGTGTGTGTGTGTGTGTGTGTGTGTGTGTGTGTGTGTGCGTGTGTGTGTGTGTGTGTGTGTGTGTGTGGCATGTGTGTGTGTGTGTGTGTGTGTGTGTGTGTGTGTGTGTGTGTGTGTGTGTGTGTGTTATGTGTGTGTGCACATGTGTGCGCATGCATCNTGTGTGTGTGTGTGTGTGTGTGTGTGTGTGTGTGTGTGTGTGTGTGTGTGTGTGTGTTATGTGTGTGTGCACATGTGTGCGCATGCATCTCTTTGTGTGCCGTCTGCATTTTGTATCTTCATCTGTGTTTGGGTGCAGGCTTTTTCTCTTTAGCTCTTACACCGATGGCACGGAGCATGAAGATGTAAATAAGCATTTTGCAATGGCACAGAACACATCGTCTCCAGATGCCATTGTTTACGGTATAGTCTGATACAGTGATACTCTGTTTGTTTGTTCTTCTTTCAAAAAACAGTGCTCAATTTAAAAGCATGCGCAATAGTTGGCTTTCAATGGTGTATCTTGCTATGCTATTCGCATGCTCTAATGGCAGCTGGAACACCGCTGCCTACCCACCAATAATTGGCTCATAGATAGAACCTCCCTGGAACAGAGAGGCTGTGCCCTCCCATGGTGCAAATTGTGCATCAACTCATTCCCATCCAAAAAGCGACCGGAGACGATCGAACACATCTTCTTGCAATGCCCGGGGGCACTCTGGCTGTGGAGGTGGTGGGACAGAATTTGGGGGCAGCTGGAAACAATCGCCCCGTGGCCCTGGGACTGGAAGGCAATCCTGTTTGAAATATGGCCCAAAGACCACATGGACCAGCTAGATGCCTTCACCGACAACTATTTCAAAACAGGACGCAGGGCGGTGCTCTGGGCGCTATGGAGACGACGCTGTACATTCAAAATAGAAGGTGCCAGACTAGAAGGTCCTGAGTTCACGGAAAGTATAAAGCAACAGGTTCAAACAAAAATAATTGCGGTATGGGAGGAGGTTAAAACACGTATCAGACTTTTTGACAGAAAAAGAGACATCCTACTTAAAATCCAAGAATTCAGTTCATGCTGGCTCGGGGGACCTGATGGGGGGAGGATAGGGAAGGTAGAATGGAAAGGGGAACCCCCTGAACCCGGGTTAGACCAGGGACGGAGAGAGATAGTTAGAGACTACTGTCTCATATTTAAAGACTGGGCTCATGTGGATGCGGCCATCCCCCTAAAGCCTGCTGGAGAATTTCCGGAGTTTTTCCCTCCCCCCTCTAACTGCCTGGTAGAAATGCAGTGGTATGGAGGATAAACGAAAGAATAGACAAGGAGAGGTCAGAGTCGCCTGACAAGAAAGGGACTGTTTCAAAAAAAGGGAGCTGACAGTTGTATAGCAGAGAGAGGAGACTCTGAGGCTATAAAGACCAGCAAGGGTTGGCTGGTAGTAAACTGGGTTAGAAGAAATCAAACTCCGATGGTGACAGGTGGGAGAACTAGGAATTGCAGTAGGGATCTGGCGCCAATATACATGGTGAAGAGGTTTCCCCCCCTGGCACCCGCGTTGCGAAAAGTTATTTACATTGAAACACTGCACAGTCAATCCTCTCGACTCCAGAGTAATCAATGCTGGCAGGTTTCTTTTTCCTTCTGTTCACATTCATCAACCTGTATAAGGGACGTTGGACCCGCTTTCCAGCAGGTGACGCTCCCCACCAATAGATAGAGCCTCCCCTCTGGGTGCTAGTGGTGTCTGCTCTTACCAGCATCACTAGCACTGCGAGGGTGTGTTTAAAAGAAAAAAAAAAAAAAAAAAAAAAGGTCGTGTTCTTTCTAGGAAAAATATTAGAATACTTTTTAAAAAATCATTTAGACTGAAAATTAATCATCGCGCCGATTTGGCACATTTTCCATTTTTGCCACTCAGCCATGTGTGGGCCAACTGAAAAAGTACTCCAAATTCAGTGAGTTTTCACTATCAGAAGAATGCGTGAAAAAACCTGAAAATTGGAGTACTTGTAGATTTTTTTGTGATCTTTCCAGGAAAAAACTAGGGCGATTTCCCGGGCCGGGTGCCAAATTCCCGACCGGAATGGCACCCGGGCGCCTGGCCGGTCAGGACCCGCGGTCGGGTCCCCGGGCCAGTTTCGCGCAAGGCCCAAAAAAACAAATTCGCGGCCTGGGGGGTGCTCCGGGGCTCGTTGAGGCCAGTAGGACCGGCGTAAAAAAATTTTCGGCCGTGGGGGGACCGAAATGTGCCTTGCCGCGTCGCCGAGATCTGGCCGTCGATCTCGAAGATCGACGACTGGATTTCGCGGGTTTTGAAATTCGTTTGCCCACGCGTTTTCGCGTCGGCACGATGAGTTTGCCGACACGAAAACGCACGGGCAAACGACTTCCCCTACGGAGTCGGCCATCGGAGCCCGCGCGACGACGACGAAGCCCCGAAGACCCCCTGCCGTTGCCCCGGGAGCCCGCCGCCATTCCCTGCCGGCCACTCCTCGGCCATCGACGGTTTGTGTGTGTGTGTGTGTGTGTGTGTGTGTGTGTGTGTGT